CACCCATCCACCCACTCATCCATCCATCCACCCACCCATCCATCCATCCACCCACCCACCCATCCATCTATCCATCCATCCATCCACCCACCCATCCACCCACTCATCCATCCATCCACCCACCCATCCACCCACTCATCCATCCATCCACCCACTCATCCATCCACCCACCCACCCATTCATCCACCCACTTATCCACCCACCCATCCATCCATCCACTCATCCATCTACCCATCCATCCACCCACTCACTCATCCATCCACCCACCCACCCATCCATCTATCCAACCATCCATCCATCCACCCATCCATCCATCCACCCATCTATCCATCCACCCAGCCACCCACCCAGCCATCGACCCACCCATCCACCCCCCTGCCCATCCAATGATCCATCCATCCATCCACCCACCCATACATTCATCAACCATCCATCCGTCCATCCATCCACCCACTCACCCATCTGTCCATCACCCATCTCTTACCATCCACCACCCCTTCCTCTCCGTTGCCTCATCCAGCATCCCAGAATTTCCAGGACTCCCTCGCACCGAGACACTGGACCAGCTTCCCCTCCCCCCCACACTCCTGTCCTCCCCCTCCCTCCCTCACCAAGTTCTTGGGTCCAGTAAACTCTGTCTTCACTTCCTCACTCCTCTCACGCCCAAGCCTGTTGCGGTCTGGGTCCTTCCCCACCCACCATGCCTGCAGGCACTGAACTCATCGAGGCCCCTTACCAAATCCAGGCCGGTGCAGTCACTGGGCCATTTCCTGCTCCGATCGTTGCCAACCACTTCCTCCTCTGCTTCTGTTTTCGGTCACCTTTTGGGCCGTCGCTTCTCCATCTCTGCTCGTTTCCCTGACACAGCCCTCCCTGAACCGTGGGGTTCCCCACAACCCTCCCTGAACGTGGGGCTCTCCACAGCCCTCCCTGAACCGTGGGGCTCTCCACAGCCCTCCCTGAACCGTGGGGCTCTCCACAGCCCTCCCTGAACCGTGGGGC